CCCCCCAGCCAAGACCAATTTCCTAGGGGAAACACTGGACTGATAACATCCAAACCGACTGCAGGCTGATTATGGACACTYAAAAATAATTTTAATGTTCTAATAAAACTCAGACTTTCTGATCTCTCCCCCAAGATCTTGTATTTGGTGATGTAATTTCTATCCTCACATTTCTCTTGGTGTTCATAATGTCCATCATTAATTTAATTCTTGTTTATTGCTTTTACATAAAGTCTAACAAGTCAGCAGAGTCATTGTTGCAGTTCTGCTTCATCAACATGCTGAAGTAAACTGAAGCATGAATATTCAGTCTTTCCAGGGCTTTTCCCCCTTTTTCTGATTATTACAACAGACTTTTCAGAAAATTTCCCTCAAAGTTTTAAGAGAAGAACTCTTCCCTTGCTGGTCGCCATCACTTCCAGCTGAGTCAGACCCCAGCTGACTGAAAAAGAACAAACCTAACCATTTTCAGACGTATCATGGTAGAAAAGTGCTCATGAAGCAGCAGTTTTCGTCTTTGTTCAAACACAATGTTGTACATGGCGAAAAAATGTTTTCCACCATTTCATGTAAAACTTGACTTGCACAGATTTCAGGAGTAAAAGTTGATGTTTTCATCTTGTGGGAAGTGGAAATAGGCAAAGACCAAAGGTGATTGGTAAAAATTTTGTGTTCAAAATCTGTTTAAAATCTGTGTTAATAGTTGTGATTGCAACTTCCTGGAGGGACTGGCTGTGTTCCTGATAGCTGGCCTGGAACATCTCATTCTGTTGCAAACAAAATGAGAAAGTTTACTGATAACACTGTAATCAATGTGACACCCACATTTTCATTGATACATGGATCTAGAAAAAGCACATGTGGAGTAACGAGAGAGAAACTGATTCTGTATGAGGAACTGAGCTATGGAAAAATAAATTAGTGAAAGTACTGCAGGACATGATGAAGGACAGGGAGACTGGTGAGTTGTGCAGTAGGAGTTACAGGTGATTACATCAGGTATCAGTTCTGAGAATCTTCTTGTTTGCAGTGATGGTGGACAGGATGACTGAGGCCAGTCAGGAGTCCCATTAGGTGATGGTTTATGTGATCTACAGTGAGAGTAGTGTGCAGGTGGAAGATAGCCTGGGGAGGGGTGGAGGTAGTATGATCTGCAGACCAGATAAAGGCAGTTGAAGCACAGGATATGTTGTTTGTGTTTTTTCACCAAATGCTTTTCCGGGGTACCATAACCCAAAAAATTTGTGTTTGTTTAACCAGGGATTCTAATTTGGCTCTAGGTGTCTGTGTACTTGTATTTGTTACCTTTTTTTTGGTCTGTTTCTAGTATACACACTGGTTGTGGGCAGTATTGATGTTTTTCTTTTTTTTTTAATCTGGCAACCCTSATGCCGGTCTCACTCAGACATTGGTCATGCAGTGACTGCATTATCACAGTTACATCCAAACCTGGTGAATAAACTAACGTTCCTTCGAACCTAGGATGCTTTTTGTGTTTTGAGTAACACAAAAAACACTCCGCTGTCTGTAATTTATTGTAATTATTGTTAGTTTAGAAAAGTAACTTTTGCTGAGTTCTGGCTGTTTACACATGCACACTTTCACAGCTGCGGGCTGCTTCTCACCTCTACGGGGGATGCTCCTGAAAATCTCCACTCTGAGACCAGGATTTAGAAACCTCCAGTTTCAGAGAGAACGATGGCTGGTGTCGTGTACATGATCGGCTGACCTGCAGTAAAAAAACCTGCAGTTTCACACAAAATTGGTATTGTGTAAGCAAGGCCCAAGTATACTGACAAATTATATTAAAATACCATCACCAATACAGAGGAATACCACAATACTGCCATACGGCCCAAGCCTAATACACACCTTCCTTATCAAGACCAGTAGTCCTTAAGGGGACCAAAGACCTGTCCTAATATGGTGGAAGTCTACTTTTGTGTTGGGGTTTAGGCTTAGGACAAAGGTACGACTTGACTTTAGGTTTAAGGTAAAGGGTCAGGTTAGGGGAGTATTTACTCAAGAGGGTCCCACCTGCCGCCTGATGGCTCCACAGAGATTGTAAATCCCTTTAGGAAGTGCACGCTCACTCGAGATCAGGTCCAGTCCTGTTCCACTGGGTCCTATCTTTATGGGAAGTGCATGGTACATTGAGTGTTTGCCATGTGCTCTTCTTCAAAGAGAGGGAGGAGAGTTCAGAGAAGGGAGGTTTTAGGCAGAGTAGGATGAGAATTGGGGGAGGAGTCTGGAATGGTTGAGGGTGTGGTCTGGTAAGTGTATATAGGAGGTTTAAAATGGGGTTAATCTAATCAAAATAAATATTTAGATTATTTAGAGGAGTTCATTCTATTGACTGTTTACAGCTTACTGAGGTTAGGCTTAATTTTGTTTTCTGGTTTAGTGTTGGCCAGTCAGTTAGGGGGAATAGTTTAATTGTGGGTTGACCCTCTGTCACGGTGCTGTGTTATGAGGGTGACCCATAATGCTTTGCGATTGGGTAGGGGGTGTGGTTTATTGTGATGGAGGGCCAGGGTTGGTGGATTGTTTTGAGGTGTGCTGGTGTTTGATGGATTATTTTCAGTATTCGTGTAGTATATATTTTGTTTTTATTTAGGCTTGCTGTGTTTGGTGGATTGGTTTCACTATTGTGCAATAATTATTTTGCTGTTTTAATGGTTTTTTAACTGGATTTAAAATATAGTATTCTGTGGAAGGAGAAGACCGATTGAAGGTGTTTAATTGTGAATGGTCTAGTAGTTTTATTCCCAGTGGCTGGTTGCAGTCTTTAGAGATAGAAACTTTTCTTGTCTGTGAAGTTTTTTATAGGGCTCCTACAGCTGTCATGGGGGTGGTTTCTGTTTTAATTTTGAGGGTAAAGTTTGGGAATTCAAGGCGAAGGGAGGGTTTGTTAAGCAATGAAGGTGTTATGGTGCTTTATAAATGGGTTTTGTTGTTTGTGATGGGTGCTGATAGGAAATTATATCTTGCAAAAACCTGAGGCTTCAACAGACTGGTTCACCGAGGATCTGGCTGGGTCAGGTTAGGGGAGCATTTACTCACAGGGTCCCACCTGCTGCCCGATGGCTCTGCAGAGTTGAATGAATGGGTGATTATCAGGCTTCTGCAGAACTTGGAAGAGGTAATTCAATGACTGAATCAGCTGTGCTGGAGCAGGGAAAAAAGAAAAATATGTAGGGCTGCGACCCTCGAGGACCAGGAATGCCCATTTCTGATGTGGAGTAATGACAAAACAAAAAACACAAGCAGACTGGAACATAAAATATCAAAAAGTGAAGATCTTAATACTGTCTAAACCAAACTTTTAGGGGAATTTTGTTTTTTTGTACATTAATAGATGTCCTTTCTATTTGTTTTATTTAGTATTGTTTACCCCTTTGTTAAATAGTTTTCACTGATTTGTAAGGTATCAACGTTTAAGATTATTTTCATATATAATTTATAATGTATTTATTTTTGCCTGACTATTTTCTTTTCTTTGTTTTGTGTTTGATTTTTGTCCCGGCCTCTTTGTTTTTCAGATGAGGGCAGGAGTGCCGTTCACCTGGCAGGAGGGGCTCAAATAATAGCTGAACTCATTAAATCCCTCTCCCAAAATACTGATCCGGAAAATGAGAAGCTCTTGACTGTCTTTTGTGGCATGCTGGTGAACTATAGCAATGATAATGGTAATAACCATCTTCCCCCAAGACTCAWTGTTAACTCATCTCGACTAATCAGCGGGTTGTTTCACTCTTCTGCTCAAACTGTGGGAGTGATTCTCTGGTTTACTCTGATCTGTCTTTCTGTCACATTTACTTGCTTTCTAACATCATCTTTCAGGTAATCTGTCATTTTAAATATTTGCCTTCTCCCTAGACAACGCCTTCTTCCAAAACTTTAATTTGTGACTCATTTGTAAGAGGTAGACAGCTTTGTCATGCTTATAGCTTTTTACTTGATCTAAAGCTTCAGTCTGGTGTTAGGATCCATCATGTAAACCTGAATTATCTTCTTCTTCATGAGTCTCCTCAGTCATCCTCCTCCATCTCACTCTGTCCACACTTTGTTCTCTGTCCTTTGTCCTCTGTACCTCCTCTGGACAAGTCTTAACCAGTATACCCACTGTCCCTCCTCTGGACAAGTCCAAAAAAATATACCCACTGTCCCTCCTCTGAATGTCTCCGAACCAATATACCCACTGTCCCTCTTTTGAATGTCTCCAAACCAATATACTCACTGTCCCTCCTCTGGACAAGTCCAAACAAATATACCCACTGTCCCTCCTCTGNCACTGTCCCTCCTCTGGACAAGTCCAAACAAATATACCCACTGTCCCTCCTCTGAATGCCTCCAAACCAATATACACACTGTCTCTCCTCTGGACAATTCTTAACCAGTAGATCCACTGTCCCTCCTCTGGACAAGTCCAAACAAATATACCCACTGTCCCTCCTCTGAATGCCTCCAAACCAATATACNCCTCCAAACCAATATACCCACTGTCTCTCCTCTGGACAATTCTTAACCAATATATCCACTGTCCCTCCTCTGGACAAGTTCAAACAAATATRCCCACTGTCCCTCCTCTGAATGCCTCCAAACCAATATATCCACTGTCCGTCCTCTGGACAAGTCCAAACAAATATRCCCACTTTTAATCTATTTTATCCTTTTGCTTAGTGTCCTGGTTTGGTCACCTTTCTCTTAAAAATAAGAACTCCTTGAACCAAATAGTGAAGTGGTCCAGTAAACTGACTGGAAAGATGCAATTAAATCCAGAATCTCTGTACTCTAGGCAGGTCCAGAGATTGTCTGGATCCATTTTGGAAGACCTGTCTCATCCTCTGCATAGCGAGTTCAGCCTCCTCCCATCAGGATATAGATACTTAGTGCCAAAATGTAAAACTAAGCGTTTCAAAATCAGCTTTGTTCCTATTGCGATTGGCTTTTTAAACTTAAGTTAACATAAAATACATGACATTAGTTAGTCATTTTATTCTTTTTTGTCTTATATAGTTCTATTTGATTTTATCTTGTTTTTATCTTTGATTATTATATAGTTGAGTTTTATGAGCACCTGGTCACTTTTTAATCATGTGTCCACTGTATGTCCATGTCAGATGTCTTGTGCTTTTTCTTGGATAAAGGCTGACTCGTTTTCACTGTAACAAAATTTACCTGTGGGTACAAATAAAGTTGATTGATTGATTGACTGTCCCTCCTTTGGACAAGCCTTAACCAATGTACCTGCTGTCTCTCCTCTGAATGTCTCCAAACCAATATACCCACTGTCACTCCTCTGGACAAGTCTTAACCAATATACCCACGGTCCCTCCTCTGAATGTCTCCAAACCAATGTACCCACTGTCCCTCCTCTGAACAAGTATAAACAAATACAGTATACCCATTGTCCCTACTCTGGACAAGTCTTAACCAATATACCCACTGTCCCTCTTTTGGACACATCCAAATCATTATACCCACTATCCCTCCTCTGGATAAGTCTTAACCAATATACCCACTGTCCCTTCTCTGAATGTCTCCAAACCAATGTACCCACTGTCCCTCCTCTGGATAAGTCTTAACCAATATACCCACTGTCCCTCCTCTGCACAAGTCCAAACCATTGTACCCACTGTCCCTCCTCTGGATAAGTC